GCACTGTCTACTAGGGCAGCTTCCTCCACTTCTCTTGAAATTTGACGAGTTTCTCGCCCATATTCCGGCTCTTATTTCCACCAAAGGTATCCCTACTCTTTCCCATAATGTTTCGATGGCGCTCGGGACATTGGTGTGAATTGTTCCCTTCGTTGAAAGCGCGCCATGCTGTCGAAACCAATCCTTCACAGTGAAGGTGCGATGCTTTTGGTCGCTCTATAGCTAGAAGGCGAACTCAGTCACGTACAGTTTCATACGAGCGGATACGAAACTCCTTCTAGAATCTATCTGATACGTCGGCATTCACCACTTCTCTAATCCTGTGCAGTTGTAAAACTTCTTTTACGGACTACCACACGCGAGCCTCCGCCAAGTTTTACATACGGCAGTTAATTCCTTGGATCGAAACGTTTTTCCTCAGGACCGCACACATTCCTATTTCAGTCGCCGGCAAACATCTTGAATTACACTCTCGTTGGTCCGCAGGACGTTGTAGCCCTATGGGGATCCCCACTTTAGGTGTGCGTAAGCACATTTCGCCCCCGACCAGTTCACCGCCGACTAACTTCGCAGTATTCGCAATCATGTGAAGGCAGCCTATACAGTTGGGTTCTAGAAGGAGCTCTTATCCACGTGTATGACAGCTGCCCGCGACTGAGCTCGCCTTCTAGCATTAGTGCGACCAAAAGCATCACACCTTCACTGTGAAGGAGTGGCTTCGCAGCATGGCGCGCTTTCAACGAAAGGAACAATTCACACCAATGTCCCGAGCGCCATCGAAACATTATGGGAAAGAGTAGGGATACCTTTGGTGGAAATAAGAGCCGGGAATATGGGCGAGAAACTCGTCAAATTTCAAGAGAAGTGGAGGAAGCTGCCCTAGTAGACAGTGCATTCAATGACTGATTCCTTACTTAGGCCTTGTTAGTATTTCAGCGAACCCAGAAGATCATTAACAAAGTATTGGACCTGCCCAGTGTTATTCATCATGCGTAAGATTGTTTTGTTGAATTGTAAGCTTGCTAGAGTAATTTGAAACCTACTTGGAATTTGCTCATACGCGAGAATTTCTAGTGAAATGATTTTTTCCATTCTTAATTCTTTCTCAATCCGAAACAAATATGCCGTTTAAGTGAAGTAGGACTATCTCTAAAACATATTAAAATTTGAATTGATTTGATTCAGCGGAAAAAAAGTTACAGTCGAAAAACAATTTCGGCGAAGACTTTTGACCGCTACTGTATAAAGAGCTGCCACAGGGCACCAAAGAAAGCAGTTCAGCAGGAACCGTTAAACAGTCCACAAAACTATGAAAAGGTCATGATGCTTCATCTGCCTCGTCCTTAAGTTTTGCACACCAGTGTACTTAAGTGCTCTGTCCTAAAATGTCTGAGAGGAAGTACTAGAGTGGTTTCCCATCCATTACGTAACATACAGTAGCGGTCAAAAGTTTGGAAACTTTTTTATTTTCGATCTTGCGCGGCCGACACACAACCAAATTGTCCCAAATTTAGATATTTCATACAAAATCGAGTTCAGAATACGATGGGAAGAACAATTTCCAAAAACCTATAATCATATTTGAGAAATAAGATTTTTTTCAAGTAATGGCGCGTCAAAAGTTTGGAAACTTTTTGTTTCCCTTATCATTATGATTCCTACTCTTCAATGTTCACTTGTTTCTGTTAATTTTAGTTAAACCATTGAGCAATGTGTAATTTCAAAATGAATTCATATGCAAAGGAAGCAGTTTTTCCATGGGAGGTCCTTTTTTAAACCCTACAATCCGGAATACGAAATTGAAACTGTTTCTTAGTAGTTCAGTCTCTACGGAAGCAATATTATCGAATGTTTCTAGCGTTATTGGAGTCGAGTAAGCATAAGAAGAATGATCATTCACAAAAAAGTATCTTCACAAGAAAGTTGGTCCTCTTCAAATACTACTTCGAAAGGTGGTTGGCACGTCCCGTGCCCCCGACATTCCCAAATAAGAGACAACTTTTTCTGGTTTTTTCCCAATCATATGAAAGTCCAAGTGCAGCACAACATCGGCCGCGACCTGGATGAATATTACGGATGGTGTCCCAGCAAGAAGCCATTGTTGGGCTTCAAGAGCAGGATGGCCCAACTGGCTTCCGCACACTAACGGCTAACATGGACCGAAGGCAAGAGGTGAAACTTTGTCCTCAGCGACGAATGAGATTTCTATCTTCCTAGAAATAATATAGTGGACCCTGTGAAGTGTTTTGTCAAATGGGAACCTCATTTTGAGTATGAGATTCCAACAGTCAGAAATAGTGGAAGTACTGTCATGGATGAACATGTGTCCGACCATTCGGCGATTCCACAGTTCTAGGTATCCAGCGAAATGTGGGTTGGGCTAAGTACAAGTATAGTCTGTAGAATACAATGCTTACCTTAGATAGTCAGAACTAGCCGGAAAAGATGGGTTTTCTATACAGAATGATCCAATGCAGGCCTACCCTCTCACTGTCGCCTTACTAAACCCAGAAAAAGAAGCTGCTATAAACAGACCAAGTCAGGATCTAAAGTTTTATTGAGTTCTACATCAAACGAAAGGACTGCCATGTTGCTCAATCCACATTCCAATTAAGAATCCCACCGAACAATGTGATTTAGTTCACAGTGTGCAGGGTTCCGACTTAAAAGTCCTAAAATTATTTTATAATCAACTCCATGTCAATAAAAACGACGCTAACATAGAAATTTAAAGCTACTCATCAAATAACTAATTTATCATGTGGATTTGAGAGCTATTTTGCCGAATTCGCTTTGGAATTCGGAAGTTTCCAAACTTTTGACGCGCCATTTCTTATAAAAATTCGTATTTTTCAAATGCGATTCGTTTTCAAAAAATCATGTTGCCATCGTAATCTACACTTGATTCTGAATATAATATGTGAATTCGGGGCAATTTCATTGTCTATTGGCTACGCTAGATCAAAAATAAAAAAGTTTCCAAACTTTTGACCGCTACTGTAGTTATGCCCTATACTTATAATGTTGCTTCTGCAGCCAATTGTCTTTCATTTTGCAGATACAAGTTGCAAAGTGGAGAGCAAGTTCTGAACGTTGTGTTCGTCCTAGCGGTAACTGTAACCTTCTATCTGTTTCTTTCCCATCTTAGGTGGCTCTGAATTATTGAAGCGTTCAACGTTCACCCACTAGAGCTTCTTTGCTACGTTGAACTGGTGAACCGCTAGGTATTGTGTGCCAGACACCATTAGCAGGTTCAGTTAGAGGAGTAACGTACCGTGAGGTAGTTCCTTCCCTGATTTCAAAAACTGCATGATAAATTGGTTCCAATAGGAATAATACATTGTACCTTATCACATACACAGAATAGAAGATGCAAATGGAGAGACTGAGAAAAAAGTGGATATGGCCGCGCATACACGCTGTCTTATAATTTTGGCCCAGGCTGTACATCCCTGTCTTCTCTGAAACTTAGTGTTATAGGGTACACGGACAGTACTGACCAGTACCCTCCTTCGTGTCTATCCTCACAGCCATGATCCGATCGCTGATCCTGTTCACAGCGGAGACATAGTCCTTGAGCGACTCCGCTACCGCTATGGCCACACCGTTCCGCTTGGTGTCTTCTCCATTGTAGTAGAGTTTGACACCTTCCCCGATTTCCCTGGCCTTAGCACCTTTCCATCGCGTCTCCTGAAGGCATAGGACTTGGATATTCCTGCGCGTCATCAGATCAGCAACCTCTCGGGACTTCCCAGTTAGCGATCCTACGTTCAGAGTCCCAATTCGAACTAGCTTCTTTGGCCGAGGCCGTTCACTCCTCGGTAGCCCTCGCATACTGACCACAGAACTCGGGCGGGGGTTCTGCGCGCCACTTCCGGGTGACGTCCTAGCTTTATCACTGATTCTTTTGCGACTTTTAGACATGTTTGGTGTGACTGGGGTCTTCATCAGCCGGCCTGTCAACCTGGGCCTGACGCTGGTACTAGAACCATTTTTGCAATTTTTGCAAGGCATGGTTAGCCTCGGCAGGGATCGAACTCGCGGTTTTCAGAGGTGCAGACATGAGTCTAACCTCTTAACCACTCGGCTATCCCTGCATGACTCGCACTGTGAATGGGACTGAGCAGCTCTAGGGGCGGGCAACTCCTTGTCTGTCTGCTTCATATTCAGTTGCTGTTATTAGGTTGCCTATAAAGCCCTCTGTAACCAATCTTCAGGAAAAAAATCAGGAAGACCTTCCATTTATTTCGGTGTTTTGCTTCTGCAGTATATACCAGGAGCATTTAGAAGAAAGTCACATGAATACTTTGCACAACGCTTTCCACCTTAGCAATTCCTACTATCATGTAACTAGGATGCTGAAGCACCACCTGGACGACGAAAGCTCCTACGAACCAAGTCATCTCAAAGTAAATTTGATGACTTGTTCTCATAGCAGTCACTGGCATCTTGAATAAGAATTGTGAAGCTGCACGGAAAACAGGTAACTCCTATACGCTAATGGTGGTAATTTTTTGACTGAATGCCTCGTTCGAAGAAAAAAATTCCTAATAAGAAATTTCGTTCGAAGTGTTGCAGGATTTCCTGAAAAACCCAACAGGATTAAACACGGATATGCCGGTTATCCTCTTAGAGGACAAGGGAAGATGGACAAATATTGGCCGATATGATCAACGTCTTCGAAATACGTCATGCGATCAACCTCGAATTGAAGTCAGGCGCTCATTTTGCTTATAGTAGCTTTATGAGTCAATCCAGCAGGACTGATCAGCCTTTATACCAGTCAGTCGAATCAGAGTGATAGGAGTTTGAATAACATATTCAAATACCTATACTCAAGTTACGGTACGGTGAGGCTATAAGACAATAATCGTGGAAAAATGTTGAATATGCGACGCATTCTATAAAGGGAGTAACTAAGCCCGGATATCCCGTTATCGTTAGAAGGTGTATCTGGCCGTGGTTTCTGAACTTTATAACAGTAATGAACTAATTTTGAATCATTCATAGATAATTTCGTTGGTTGCACAAGATTCTGGTATTATGAATGGAATAAAAGAAACTAACTTGGTCTCTATAATCGTTAATGAAACGCCGTCGAGTCTGATTACATGGCCATCACTGATATACTCATAATAGTCCTTTTTCGCCTGAAAAAGTTCATTTCTCCATTTTTTAATGGAAGCCAGCTTCAGTGTATCGTGCGAATATCAAATTGCGCAAAGATTGCCGTCATTGGCCTCTGCAAACGACCAGCCAATCATGGGCGGGAGCGCTGCACGGGTACCCCCCAGGAGGCCCGTCGCGCGGCAAGAAGGCAGAGTCGGCGGACGAGTTGCAGCGCGTGATGTGCGATGTAGGACGTGCAATGGGACACTCTATTTAACTTGACGCGAAATCCCTATAGTACGCGCGCGACTCGTCCGCTGACTTTGCCTTCTTGCCGCGCGACGGGCCTCCTGGGGGGTACCCGCTGCACACGTCAGTTGTGCGCTTTGTCATGATATTCGCGATTGCGACTGATTCCTAGCAACCCATCGATCCTTGTTTCAACCGCTACTAGCTGCTCGAGGTGCGGTTCAACCCAAGCACCATGACACGATGTGCATTCAAATATAAAACTACTTACAAGGCCTTTGCTTTTCCCTTTGTACACGGGCGGTGGATCACCATTCGACGTCTTGAAGTGTTCGCGTACTGAATGACATCCACCTGAAATATTATAAAAACTGGGCCATCCCTCCACATCCATAGATATCAAGCTTCAATTCCACAACTGACTTAGGGACTAAATCGACAATGTTTAGCGAGGTCCTACCTAAATGATCATGATGCCAGTGAGTGCAGATTATCCCCTCTATTGTAGCAGCACCGAGTGCTTCCCCGAGCTTGTCGATGTACCTGAAAACTCTACCTTTTGTGATTTTTCTTCCTTGTGATTCCACCCATTTTCAGGCGCTGCCGCGAGATACATGGGTATGTATCCTTTAGGACTAAATCTGGGGAGGAGGGAGGGGAGCAGGATCTGAGAAAAATGAGAATTGCCTAAGGATACTGGAGTCTTCTCACCCACCTATGACTTAGTCCTGTTTTTAGCAAGAACATGTTTTACGTGGTTTTAAATTCATTGCCTCTACAGTGCCCCCCCCCCATGTCGCAATTGGAAAACTAGGCTATCTAGATAGATTACTTCTCGAGCAGCAATGTATTTGGTTTGATGAATCATGTAATGTTCTCAAATCAAAGTTTGGAAGAAAGGTAACGTAGCCAGTTTGGGTCCAACTGAGGGCATTTGCGAAACGGAAGACAAACCAGTTCCTTGAATCTCACCCCTTAAATGTTCCATGTTCTTTCTTAGTTTCGATTTAATCAATTTTCCTTGGAAATTGACGGGGAGACATAATTTCACCCCCGTATCGTTTATAGTAGCGATGAGCTAGCTATTCATAGTCGGGCCAAGATTGCGTTCCGCGGGTGAAATATGTGTAGACCAGATGCTGGTGGTTGTCAACCCTTGTGTCACATTCACTCCCTGACACCCTGTGCCCCGTCCAGTCGTTGCTGTACACGTGAACACAATTTCACGGGCGAACGCACAGTGTCAAGAGCAGGTGACTATGGATAAGTTTCATCGCCTTACAAATGATCAGAAGAATGAAAATAAAGCTAAGTTCCATATTAGTATTGTTGCTTCCGTGAAAAACAAGTTCTGGATGGTAGAATTTTTCCTTCTATTTTACTAACTCTTCAAGTCACTGACGGAGGCTGAGCGTCTCATCGGCACTGGTGGAGTTGTGGCCTTTGAAAACGGCGAATTCATCGAAACATTAGGCTAATAAACATTCCACCATCCAGAACCTGTTTGGCACAGAAGCAACAATACTATTCAAGAACAAATGCCCAGTTTTAAAAAAATGCAACATGGAGAAGACTAACAATGAGTTTTGCTGAGATGGAGGAAGAAAGAGTGGGTGGTGGGGTGGGAGAGAAAAGCTCACCGGCGGCACGGACGCGAGCGTGTACCGGTGACGTCACAGCTGCGGCAAGTGTCACGAGAAGACTTAACAGACAGCTTCGCTGCCATTACATTGAATAATAGACGGCTGACACCACACCAACCAATGCAATCTGTAGTGCCAGGAGCGAAGTGATTATATTCCGAATAGGCGCAATTCGCACTCGGGAAATAGGAAAATTTTGCGGAATAGTAAGGGAAAGTAACGCGCTGATGTGTGCAACCCCCCCCCCTGCACAATCAAGTCGGAGTGGTGCCTGTTATCCTTATATACACAGATGCCCATTCTCTGTCTTCCATCCTCTCTACTCCTGCATTCCATCGCACTATTTCCCTTCACAGTACCTCTAGAGCTCTAGCTTTGTAATTGTCCTGTTTCCGCCGCATCACAACAGAATGAGCGACCTCAACACTGTCAATTTTCTCTGCCATAATCACATGTAGTGCGCTTCCTCTCACTCTGTCCTCTATCTTCTTCTTCTCTCTGCCTCGCGTTGTGACGTCAAAGTGACGTAACCCGTACGCTCGCGTCCGCGACGCCAGTGAGCTCTTCCATGGAGCAGGGTGGTGGCACCATGGCGCACGCATGGTTTAAAATCAAGCCGGATCGACCGATTTCCAAGTCAAGGAAGCCGTTCAAATCTCCGAGATCGGTTGATTGGTGACACTTCTCTCGGGAGGACAACACACTAACTTGTACGTTGGCCAGACTCAGCAACTCCTATAGGCCAAAAATACCCATTAAAATATCGTTGTGATTCCGAGATTAATCGGCCGCTTACCCCTCTCCATACTTCTCTCTCGACCCGCCCTTCGCCTCCTCCCCCACGTGTCTTCCTCTCGCGTTATCTCTCTTCCTCGCATCCCATTCACCTTTCTGTCCCTCTGCCTTATCCCTCGCCCCTCCTGTGACACGTCTCCGCTGACTGCAAAGATTCCGTCTACAAGGGACTCACGCAGTTCTCCAACTTCTTTCTACTCGACGCATCTTTCTTCGTTTCGAGCGTCTCGTATGTCTCCCACGACCCTCGCTTTTTTTCTTATTTCCTCGAGCCGTAATCTGTGCCTCCAACCGTCTCCCCTCAATCTGGTAACGTATCCTCTGTAACGTGTCTCGCTGTACGCGAGACGCGAACGCTGGACGCTAGCGAACCCGCTCCATTCGCAAAGTGTGACAACGGGCCTAACTTTTCGGGGCGTGGTAGTGCAGGCCGGTTGAGGTAAGCGGAGATTGCCCTAGTGAATGTGGAAGGGTCTGATAGATCGAGGAAAATTTCCTATTGAGTCGGTTGAGGTTTGAATGGTCAGGCTGAGTTATAAAAATAAGGAGGCATATGCACCACATCATCTACCAGGGTATAAACCGTGACGTTGGTGAAAATTTGGAAAATATTATATAAATCCCAGGAAAGCCATTACGAGCTCTTTATCGGAACACTTCCGATGCGATCCCCTCTTCTAAAAATTTCAAACGCAAGCTCCGCCTCCTACCCTCTTTGGTGAATTACCAACAGACTGCTGACCCTTAACTTTTCCATAACTGATGACTGACACGAGGGAAGTTGGGGAATGGTAGAACCGCAGTTCTTCAAAACAAATGAATTGTCGAAACATTCGACCAAGGGAAGAAGTTCAACGATGATAACCTGTACGGCACAGAAGAAGCGCCCCGTATCTCAGATATAGCCCAGGGTGTTCTAATAGAGCGCTGAACATCGAAAACCAATCTGTTACTTCTCTTGTGGAGTGTGTAGTCTCGTAAAAAATCCTTTCATTGACAGCATAGGTTGTTTGAAGAAAGCACTAGAAAAGTGTTACAAGTTTTGTCTTCGAGGGACACTTCGTGACAGCCTTGCGGGTTCTTGCGGACACGAAAGTGGAGGTAAAAATTGTTAAAAGTGTAATGAAACCAGCAAACGAAACTGCCAAATGCTTCCGGAGAAGCATTGCAAGAGCGTGTAGGGGCGGAGATCGATGTGCCTTATGATTGGTGAGCTCTCAAAAACGCGTGGATTTCGCGTTTTTCACTCCTTAAGGGCAGGAGCCGTCCAATAGAATTTGCATCGTCGTCCACTCACATGATCAGAGTGCAATGAGGGTTTTTCGCACATTCTTTACTCACTTACTTTAACTGCTCTATCTACTACTTTATTCTATCTGCTCTCATCTTCCAGCGCAGTGAAGCCCAGCAATTACGGTACTCTGAACTGGAAGCAGTTTGATTCCGATAATCGGTCCCTCGCTAGCGTAGAAAAAGTGCGACTTGACAGCATCACGTGGACGCCGAGAATGTCAACTACTTTTTATTAGTCACGAAAAGGCATTAATAGCCGGAAGGGGTACGCAAAACCAGCGTGTCGGGGCGTTGCCTGTTTTGATATCAAAATTACAAAATGGAATTTTTCCGAATGACACCAAAAAAAGGCTGACTTGTAGATTACCGTGGATTCTCCGGCTCTCCGGCGTCAATTAAGAACATTTTTTGATTAGTGCCGACTAGATAGGTGTTGGTTCCCTGAAATGAAGCTGTTTCTCATCATTTAATATTACAAACCTTGGAAAAACTCGGTTTCTTGCATACCTGTAGGGTGAACGGACCAGGATTTTGCCCAAGTATTCGAATCACATTAGGGCTAATTTGAGTGACGTCATCGATTGGAGTCAGATTGTCTCGGGGTTTTCTCTTTGTAAATCGTCTTGAGTATTGATAATTAAGGTAACCAACTAGACATGTTGTGAAGAAAACGAAATAACGCCGAATCACTATCCACCAGTGCATTCTGCAGTTCACCCTAAACGTTATAAAACCAGTAATTTGACAGCAAAATTCACGACAAGCGGGCCGGAAATGTAAATCGGAGAATTCGTCAGCCTATGGCCAGCAGATGAAACCCAATTCCAAGAAGAACTGTTTAAATATTTCAAATTCAGGTACTGAGTGCATCTTTCACATATTAAATCTCAGGCACATATACTTGGAGAGTAAATGACCTCGAGTACGGCCTTCATAAATATGACGCCGTGACCTCACAAACGCACGAATGCGTTTTTGTAGAGTTGTGTGAAAAATGGCGGAAGAAACCGTTGGGTCGAAATTATGGAGCATTAATACAAAATCATCAAGCGATTTTTGATACCATACGATGTCTAATAAATCCCGACTCAAAGGCACAGCGTTCAACTATGATTACAGACATCCTCCCTTTCAAAAAAAAAGAAGAACGTCGGGTGCAGACCAACACCACAAGTGACGACGGCCTCCAAGTAAATCTGGTTAGTAGTGGTTCATAGTGATAGCTGATTTTTGGTAAATGATAGTTGTAATTAGTGACAACTGATAGAATACAACTGCAACAGGCTAATCATTCATTGCATACATTTTACATGTACAGGGGTGGCCAAAAAAAGAGACACTTCACTCCACATTTCAGACAGCATTAATCACACTTTGCTAAAATCAAATCGACTGCCCCAACTCAGTATTAAAGAGCACATTCTATCTATCTAAAGTTACATGACAGCCTTCTACACCGACGACATCAGAAGATTTTCCCACGGAAACATGGTTCACGGTACGAGCTCAACGAGGTCGTCGAGGTACCATAGACCATTACGACGTCCCTGAAACGCTGGTCAAAAGCGGTTTTGCATAGTCACAGCTAATGTCTCTGGGAAGCTATTCAACAGTTAATCCATTGAAGAAATTATGTAGCAGCTTCAGGCCGGAGCGATTACGGTAAGCCTCGTTGAGCTCGACGGTGGCGGCAGATGACGTCATATTCTGAAGACGGCGGGGGCAGTGAAGGAGGGCCTGCTTCTGTTTACGGGGGAACACCTAAGGAATATTTCGCCGTAAAACTTTCATTAACATCGGCACCCTGTGCGACGAAAAGTTCGATGATGTGCGCCATGGGCAAAGTGTCTCTTTTTTTGGCCACCCCTGTACATTTCATTGTTTTGTGGAGGGTGTCGTCATTTGCGGTGTATGGCCTGCACCCGACACTCTTCTCCTTTTTGCAAGGGATTGTAGATTAATCTCTCCTGCTCATTGGATAGAGTATCAGCAAAGGCATAAATATATTTGCCCTGTTGTGGCTAAATATATATTACACGGCAGGTTATAGAGCCATGTGCGAGAAATTACTGCTCGCAATGCAACGATGTAAGAGCATGTCTGCGTCTCGCATGAGCCCTGTGCTCCCTATTTCCCAAGTCTGCTCTCACGCCTTTGCGCCCGACAACTCTCACACTGTACGACTTGTCTTCTAGGCTTGCCCCCTCCTATTTCCTAAGCAGAAATATCTCTTTGGAATGCTTCAGTATGTTGGACTAGTTCTTAAGCATTTTTTCTTCACTGATGGCTCATTTTCACCTCTACATTCATTACATTAATTTCCAGAGCGACAACTAGTAATAGGGAGTAAAAATTGAAAGTATGCAGAGCACCAACTACACTTAAGCACGAACAATTCACAAGTAATTTGGAAGCTTGAAAAATGTAATACAGAATGAAAAATGCTGTTGCAAGGAAGGAGGCTTGGTCTTCCATGCAAACATAAAGACCAACATTTTAATCGGTCAGACAGATCTCCGTCATGCTACATTTCAACTTTGATCTGTGACAAAGATATGCAGTAAAGTTCCTCATTAATGATGATCACAGTTCTGTGAAAGACAAAGGAGGAAAGCAAGGAGGAGGACAGATGCAACTCGTGAAAAATAATCATGAACACAATGTGACTCCGAAAAGCCAGCCAAAACACCACGTTGGAATTACGGAAATGTTCAGTTTCAAGACTGGGCCTCAAAAGAGAAAGGGCACTACGAGTACGTAAGCAAATTCCATTTTATCCAGAGTTCGTCGCTCTCCGTAGACTCATTCTTAAGGCCTTCACAGAATGGTGACTGAGCGGTACCGTAAAGGGGTAAAAAGGGTTAGGAACAAAAAAAGTTATAAAATAGTAAATTTTAAGTGAGGAAGAGCGTGAGTACCATTGTTTATCTACACTATTGTTAACTAAAAAACCTGGGTAATTTGGCAGGTGAAGCAACCCTCCATCTATAAGACCATACGAAATCTCAGCGAGTCATAAGCGTTACTCTTTTCATACTGACATACATTCAGAGGGTTGGGGCGGGGTCAAAAAAATTCACTTCGCCCAGAGCGTCACTAAACTTCGCCGCACAGCGTGCCGCTGTTGATGTAAATTTACCGCAAAATACGCAAAGTATTCCGTTAAGGCAGGGATAGCCGAGTGGTTAAAGCAACAGTCCAGGCAGGGTTTCAACCACTTGGTCATTAGGCGGTGAAAACATGCCCCAGCCCAACTAAAGTTCATAGGAGATGTCACTGAGTTCAAAAGATGAAGTGGAGGGAGTCCACTGGAATCCTCTGCGATCGAAGGTGCTCCAGAACGCTCAAAGGGAAGGTGTACCGGACAGTGGTAAGGCCTGCGATGCTATACGGCAGCGAGTGCTGGCCCCTGAACAAGAATCACGAAAGGCAGCTTCACTCGCTGAAATGAGGATGCTGAGATGGGCCTGCGGCTGGACGCGGCTGGACAGGGTTAGAAACGAGGATGTCAGAGCGGTCATGCAGACTGCCCCTGTCCAGCTGAAGGTACGGGAACAGCGTCTGCGATGGTATGGGCATGTGCTAAGGAGGCCACAGGACCATCCGATAAGAACAGCGATGGACTTCGAAGTGCAAGGCAAGCGACCGCGAGGAGCCCCAAAGAAGAGGTGGAAAGACGTATCAAGAAGGACCTAAGTGAAGTCACGGCCACAGCAGAAGATGCCCTGGACAGAGCAAAGTGGCGACGACTGACAAAGACAGCGGACCCTGCGACTGCGCGGGACTAACGCTAGGGAGAAGAAGAAGAGCAAAATATTCCGTCAATCCGTAAGCAGAAGCAGGCGCTTCTTCACTAGCCTCGCGTCTTCAGAATATGACGTCATCAGCCATCACCGTCGATAGCAAAGGTGCCCACAGTAATCGCTTCAACCTAAAGGTGTTGTGTAAGTTCTTGACTGCATGCTTTCCAAGAAACAGTAACTCTGAGTATGCAGCTGTGAAGTCTTGGGTTGAGTGAGGAACAGGGATCACGTGGTGTTAGGGAAGACTAAAAGATGGAGCAATCCCCCATACTACAACTCAACACCTTTTCTGACCAGCGTTTTCGATGAGGTCGTAATAGCCCACGATAGGTCGAGGACCTCTTTGAGTTCGAACCGTACATCATGTTCTTGTAGGAAAATTTAATTATTACAAAGGTATAGAAGACTATTATGAAGTTTCCTGATAGGTTTGCAATGTGCTCTCGAATTCAATCACATTTAATGTGGGGGATTGGCATTTTTTTGCTCCTCCCCCCTGCTACGTCTACTTTTATAACATTACAGTTTCAGGGTGAGCTGCTCAATATTCTCGGAAATGTCAGCTCACCAGAGCCAAAAAATGGACAATCTGTCAGGGCATGACAAATGATGGCATTCACCGCAGGAAATGCGTACTGACAGACGCATAAATTTTTCTGGGGAACTTTACTTGTTTATTCATGTTTTCCCTGTTTTGTGAAAACTGAAGACTTCCGATAAGACGTTCGTTTCACCACAAAAACCATGAAACTATTCAATGGCAGTAAACACGATGGCTTGAGGGTGAAGTGGGCTTGATGACGTCATTGGATGGTGTTGTTGGACATACCCTTCAGGGCGCTGGGGCCACATCTAACGCTCTTCTACGAATGACGCCGTCACCGGCACGGCTACACCCTCTCATTTTGTTGAGCTTGAGTTTCAAGACCTAATAAAGAATCAAGTACAAGTCAGCATCGGCACAGACGCGTCATCAGTCCCTTCGGGATGCGCCACAATTCAACTTTCATTCAGAGTCATAAGTGAGTATTTTATTTAAATATGGACGGTGCCCATGTGAAGGCACGGGTTGGGATCGAAACGATGAGCTATTTCGTTCGGAAATATATATTTTATATTTATTACATGAAGATTCCCTCATGTGGTGTAAGACAATAATACAAGAAGTGCAATTGGGAAGGCTATCGGAGAGAAAAAGCAAAACCCCCCTAGAAGCTGAAATTTCCCTTAAAAGACCGTTGTATGATTGATAGACACAGCGCTGGTTGGAGAAAGAAAACCGAGAGAGCACTTCGTACGCCAGAGAGTACAGACGCTACGTATGCCACATTGATAAGGATGGCAGCACGGTAGGTGCGCAGTGCAATGCTTTAGCGCTATTGTCCTGAACTTTGAGTCGGACAATGTCGCACCTCTTGCCCTTAGGAACCCCTCTTCCAACCTGTGGGAGGATCTACTTCTTGGCACCTAATCTTGACCCGTGGCTTCAAGTGGAGCTCCACCGTTCTATAGGTTATCGGGAAAGTAGTTCTTGCTTCCAACTTATGACGAAAGGATTCATAGGTTCATGTAGGGTATCACCCGATCACACTTCCTACACAAACTCACCCGGTTGCATTCTTACATCCTACCCATGAACTATACAGTTCCAGAAAAAATCCATGGCTGGACTTTCACAAATAGTACGTGTTTTCACGAAAAGTGCTGCCTATGCGCATAGACCAAATACATTAGTTCTGGTAATCTGTCACTACAGATATCATCAACGCCAAGTGCCCTTTGCGGCCATATCAACGATTTTCGAACGCTCTACTCACCATGTTTCATTCACCCCAGAGGAAACACTAAAATTCAAAAAAAGTAAAGAAGCGATTGACTCAATCAGCTCCATTACAAATTGAG